GTGCTTGGGTGTTGGAACAGCAGCCAGCAGACCATGATGGAGTGAGCCGGAGGGATGAGAAGGTCAACTACCAGAGATTCTGAACTGGCTCCTTCCCTGGGCAGGCCTGGATAACTCCGTGCATCCTAAAAGTTTTGCGGGAGAAAGACCGTGACCTTTTGTGTATGGAGCCTTACGGTGCTTGGGTGTTGGAACAGCAGCCAGCAGACCATGATGGAGTGAGCCGGAGGGATGAGAATGTCAACTACCAGAGATTCTGAACTGGCTCCTTCCCTGGGCAGGCCTGGATAACTCCGTGCATCCTAAAAGTTTTGCGGAAGAAAGACCGTGACCTTTTGTGTATGGAGCCTTATGGTGTCTTCCCTGGCCAGCAGTCTCCAGACCCCTCCTGCCCTGCCACTGGCCACACAGCAAATCTTGGAAGGGTCCTGATGGGTGAAGCCCTGTGTGGTGGGCATCCTCCTGCTTCCTCCCTTCCTGCCGTGTGGTTACTATAAAGGGAAGCTTCTCATTGTTTTGAATTCTGTTTGGTGGTTGGCCAGTACAGGTATCTGAATCCATGACTTGGTTTTATAACACCTCGCTCTAACCAGCGGAGCCAGCAGCCTCTGCACCTTCTCATTTTAAAACCATGTGGTTCCAAGCACGTGACAAACCTGGCTGACTGTACCAGGTGACTGGCTGCTTAGTGTCAATCCATTTGCTCACCGTAACTGGGGCATTGTGTCCCTTCATCTTCTCACTTTATTCTCTAGAGAGTTTTCCCTTTCAAAACAATCCTTCCTGTTCTTTTTGACATGATTCTATCTGAATAAATTAAGGGTAGGGAGAGAAGTAAGTTTGGGTCTCATAAAGTGATGTGCCTTGGGGACGGCTATGCACAAGACAGATTAACTGAAATAAATCAACAAACTCTTTAGCAAGCTTTCCTCAAAGAGAAAAGAATTACCAAACATAGCCACTAATTTTGATTGTTCAAAAACAATCCTGATTTCTTCTCAATCACAACTTAAGGTTGAATAGTTTGGGGTATAAGATTTTATCCACTTTAAATAAGGATACCTTATAAATTTCAAGGTGCTTCTACATGGCTTTGGTGATTTTCAGAACACACCCTCAGAAGATAAGTGTCCTCCAGGATTAAAAATTAATCCCAATGTATAGAAGGAAAAATGAGTACAGAGAGGTTAAAGCTCATTGACAAATGTTTGAGAGGCCCCACCCCACACATGGATCAGAGCCCAGGTTTTTGCTAAATTCATGCTCCCCTCCCCAAGAAGAAATTTAAATCATGACGGAAAGACTTTCTGGACATCAATAAATTCATGTGATATGCATACTTTCTAACTAAACGAGGTTAAAAGTTTTAGGAATAAAAATGCTTTTATTTGAAAATTTAAAAATTTACCAGTTGTCATTCCAATGGCATCCACATGAAAAAGGCAACAGGAAACAGTTGGAATTAATTTTAATAATATATTTTATTTAACTCAATGTATCTAAAATATAATTTTAATGTGTAATCAATATAAGCAAATATTAATGAGATATTTTGCATTTTTTTTCATGCTAACTCTTCAAAATCTGGTATGTATTTTATACTTACTCTATTTTTTTATTTGGATACTAAATTTTCATCCAAAATACTTGCTCTGTATTTAGATGTCATAAAATTTACAGTTGAAAAAGTAACTGGGTACAATTGAAAAACTATGGTTCACATACCCAATTTATTCCAAGCATACTTAAAAGTTTTCCAATAACTGAGTTGAGAATTGATATTCAAATTAATTAAAATTTTAAAAAATTAAAAATTCAGTTCCTCAGCTGCACTAGCCACATTTCAAGTGCTTGATAGTCACATGCGGCCAATAGCTGTACTATATAGGACAGAGCTGACATACACAGCCACAAGAATGGTTGCTATTAACACCATGGGGTGTTGCTATTAACATGATGGCATTCAGAGCAGACTGTCTTTAATCCCTTTTGGAAACAAAAAAACTTTGTTGTAGCTCAAACTGTCCAGTGTTCTCATCAATGTTTTATAAATAATTAAAGTGGTTCTTAATTATATTTCCTCATAATATGCCATGTTTTCTAGTAAACTTTCACTGCATTCAGATTTTATGCATAACTGCTTCCTGTTGACTTACGAAGAATCTTATAATTGCATGAATTCTAAAACAACCCAGTCATGCTTCTTTTTCTAGAGCAAACATTACTGCAAAGTGTTAAACTAACCCCTAAGAAAAAACTGTTAAAAAGGAGTACCATAAAAAAGAAAAAATAAAACAAAACAAAGAAAAAGGGATCCCACTGTATTTTTTCCAGAGCAATTCCTGGAGTTACTTACTTACACGGAACAATTCCTGAAAATCAGAACAATTCCTGAAAATTAGAAAGTAAAAATATTTGTCTATGCTTTGGCACTCCAATTTACTTCATGATCTCTTTACAAGTTGTGTTTAAAAAGTTTAATGCCAAGCTACTTAGGAAATAGACTAAATGACAACAGCTACAGAAGTTCTTATTTAACTTAAATCTGGTAACCCTTGAGACTATAAAAACCACTGATCAAAACACACTAAATCTTTACCACAAGTGAATATTTAACCCTGTGCTCAACCTGCTGTAAAAATATGAGATTCGAATGTTGGGGCAGGTTAAGTTTGTATAAAGGAGAGTTTCTGCCCAAGGGAGATGGTGGTGTTACTCTCCTTACATCTTGGCTGTCAACCCTTTGGCTTGGTCCTGCAGCTCCATTCTTGCAATTGCTGAGAGGTGGACTTCATCAGGTCCGTCTGCTAAGCGCAAAGACCGGGTTAGGGCATACCTGGAAAAACAAAAAGAGCAGAGATCACAAGAGCTACCAAAGAGGAACACGATACTTTAACATTAGTCACTCTGACTCTCAGTCAAGACTATATTAATTCTTGTAATCCTGCCAAGGCAGGGATAAGAAAAAGAGTACAAGGGAAATCAAGGAAAGTAAGCCAAAGGGCTTCTGAAATGTCATTTTAAATTTTCCAACTTGGGAAAGTGGTATCTTTTTTTTTTTGGCAGGTGGTCAGTAAAAGGATGGGGAAGCAAAATCCTAATTGGCAAAGTGCAGTTGGGTTAATCTCATCCTTGGTTTGCTACAGGTTGCTACAAGTTGCTAGAACTAAGAAATATCTTTGGTAAGCCAATAGGCAGTGACTGGTATGATACTATATATTTAATTCTTTTTTAAGGTAAACATTGGTGGGGCATGAGACTCTATTTCCACTGTGATGGAGAAGGAGGCACTGTGACTAAGTGTGGACAGAAGGGAGGATGTTCTTTCTTGCCTCCCAGCCACCAGAATCTGGATGCTCACTGGCCTGTGCACTGCAGATGGAGCTGTGGCCTCCCTGTGTGGATGGTAAACTGTCTTAAGTGCACACAGAGCCTGGCTCTGGGCCCCTGTTGACTGTCTCTGTGCCCCTCAACTACTTCCTGTTTCAGGGCAAAACCCCATGCTATATATCTATAGCCCAGGATCCTCAGAGGGTCCCCTTAGTGTAAAAGTTAACATAATGGAGTGAAATGATGATTGTAATAATAAAAGCAACTACTTCTTGGTGCTGAGCTCTATATTAAAGTACCTATATCACTTCATTTAGTCTTCTATTACACTTTAAAGTATCTTTATTTTCTTATTTTACAATTAATGTCAAGACATCTGAAGATTTTTAACTCCAAGCCTATCAAATGTAGATGATACTTTAAATGGCATCTACTCACATGTTAGCCAGAGGGTAATCCTGGGAAACACCTGCACCTCCACACACCTGAATGGCCAGGTCAATGATTTTGCAGGCAGCTCGTGGGGCAGCCACTTTGACCATTGCAATCTACATAAGCAAGATATGAAAAGAATGCTCCTTTCTTAGAATATACAGAGTGTGGCAGGATTTGATATAATCTGTATTTTCTTTGTGAAATGAAACAATGAAACTTTTCCACACCCAAGTCACCCCTAAAACAGGATCTCTGATGAAAGCCAACAAAGAGATCTGCTGTAATGCCAGTTAACGGTCATATTTCAATCAATATAGACCTTCTGTTGGAAAGAGATACCTCTTCCAAATCACATTTTATTCATTTATTTATGATTTGCCTGTTTCCAAAAGGATTTTAGGCAGCTGATAAATCACACTTATCACCTTAGAAATCATAAAAAGAGTTCAAGGGTCTTTGCTCCACTAATCAATTTTTTCTTAGCAATTTCATGGGATTTTAGAATCAAATGATTATGTCCTTATTCCATACAGGCCAGAAACATAAGAAGGCAGGGGTGCCTTTACTATGTAGCAGCATTGTGCTATGCAATATACATATATCATCTTGGTTACTCTTCACAAGAACCCTAGGCCATAGGCGGAAAGGTTAGATACTTGGCTCATGGTCACAAGGCTAGCAGAAAGTGGCATAGTGAGTACAGTTAATTCTAGGTCTGTATAAAGCCTAGTTGCTACATCTCAAGGATGCTAAAGATATTCTGCATCCTAAAAATCATTCCCTAAAGCAGCCTGGTGAAAAAAACTAGCAAGTGACAGACATTTATAATCTTTAAACTAGAACCACACGGGAGCTTCTGAGTGCCATCAAAGTGCCAGGAAACCGGAAATGCCCAATGGGCAGGAGAACTGGAGAAGGCTCAGCAGTTGGTGGTCTTGGGAGGTGATGGGGGGAAGTCTTACCTCCTTCCTAGCACCAGCACTGCCCAGAGTGTCAATGAGGTGGGCGGCTTTCAGGGTCAACAAACGGATCTCCTCAATGGCAATGCGGCTTTCAGCAATCCAGTGAGCCACAACCTCCTGGTGGGGAGAAAAAAGAAGGAGATAAGCTAGAGTCTGATGCGTACATGAAACATGGCCTTGCAGTTTGGTGAAAACATTCTCTAGGCCAAGGATTGTTGATAAAGTCTTACTGTCTCTATATATTTTTAAATGGAAATGGTAATTCATTTGATACATACCAGCCTAGCCATACGGCCATAATACAGTATCCAGTGAGCCACAACCTCCTGGTGGGGAGAAAAAAGAAGGAGATAAGCTAGAGTCTGATGTGTACATGAAACATGGCCTTGCAGTTTGGTGAAAACATTCTCTAGGCCAAGGATTGTTGATAAAGTCTTACTCTCTCTATATATTTTTAAATGGAAATGGTAATTCATTTGATACATACCAGCCTAGCCATACGGCCATAATACAGCTAAAATTGGAAGGTTTTAGAGAGAAATCTTATTTGCTCAGAAAAGTCATTTATTTGAGATATTTTAATGTCTGTGGTCAAGATAGCTGAACTGAACATCTGTCTTATTGTCAAACTACTCCTCATTGGTCCTCATGAATGCTAACTGCGTGCTCTCACTGAAACTTGACTAAATGTATGGTACTGGAGCTGCTTATAGGTAAACTAGATAATTCTCAGCACAATTTCAGCATGGGGATGGTTCAACAACCCCGAGGAACCACCACCATATAGCAGGCTGGTTCTCTACACCCAAGCTTATCTCTGATAGCCATCCTGGGAACAGCCTCACCCTCCCACACCCTCAAGAGCCACTGCCACACAGAAGGCTGCCCTGTTGCATCCAAATACTCATGATCTGAATGAAAAATTTTACAAAGAGACAGATATATCATTAAAAAACAAACAACAAAGAAATAAAAATAAATCTTAAGGCTGAAGAATTCAATGAATGAAATAAAAAATATAACAGAAAGTTTCAACAACAGACTAGATTGAGCAGAAGGAATAAACTGCAGAACTTGAAAAACCAGTCATACATTAAAAAAAAAAAAAGAAAAGAAAAGAATAAAGAAAGCTTACAGGACTTATGGGACTGAACATAAAATTATTGTGAAGATTATAGGAATATTAACTGAACAAATATTTGAATTATGGGTGTTGAAGAAGAAGAAAAAGAAAAAAAAAAGAAAATCGATTTAAAGAAATAATAGTGGAATACTTCCCAAGTCTTGCTAGAAATATGGACACCCAAATCCAGGAAGCTCAAAGGACCCACCCCAAATAGATTCAATCCTAAAAGGTCCTCACTGAGGCACATGATAGTCAAACTGTCAAAAGTCAAAGATAAAGAGAAAATTCTAAAAACATCAAGAGAAAGGCATCAAGTCACATATAAGGGAACCCCCATTAAACTAAGAGCAGAAACATTATAGGCCAGGAGAGAATGAAACTATATATTTAGAACACTAAAAGATAAAAACTGCTAGCCAATTCTATACCCAGCAAAGCTATCCTTCAGAAATTAAGGAGAAATAAAGGCTTTCTCAGACAAGCAAAAACTAAGGAAATTCATCACCACTAGGACTGGCCTTACAAGAAATGCTTAGGGAGTCCTACATCCAGAAGAGAAAGAACGATATAAATATTAAGAACACAAATGCATAAAACTCACTGATACAGAAGATACACAAATTAGAAAGAGTGAGAAATAAAATCATATTAATACAGAAAACCACCAAACCACATAAATTAAACAATAAGAGAGGAAGGAACAATGGGTATACAAATCAATCAGAATACAATCAACAAAATAACAGGAGAGTAAGATCTCACCTATCAATAATAACCTTATAAACAGATTAAGTGCCTCAATTAAAAGACATAGACGGAATGGATTAAAAATCATGACCCAACTTGATGCTTCCTTCAAGAAACTCACTTTACCTATAAAGAAATACATAGACTGAAAATGAAGGGATACAAAAAGATATTCCACACAAATGGAAACCAAAAGCAAGCAGGAATAGCTTGACTGTTTGACTATAATGTGCCTTTACATCAAAAAGTGTACAAAGAGATGAAGAAGAGCATTGCATAATGATAAAAGGATCAATGCAGCAACAGGATATAACAATTATAAATATACATGTACCCAATACCAGAGTGCACAGATATATAAAGCAAATAATATCAGAACTAAAGGGAAAGACAGACACCAACACAATAATAGTTGGGGACTTCAACAACTACTCGCAGCATTGGACAAATCTATAAGACAGTTAATCAACAAAGAAACATTGGATTTTAAATTGCATCATAGACCAAATGGAACAGACACATACAAAACATTTTATTCAACAGCAGCAGAATATACATTTTTTTCACCAGCACATGGAACATTCTCCAGGACTGACCATATGTTAGGTCACAAAACAAGTTCAACAAAACCAAAATTATATCAAATATCTTTTCTGACCACAATGGGTAAAACTAGAAATCAATAATAAGAAAAACTTTTGAAACTGCAGATACATGAAAATTAACCAACATGCTCCTGAATGACCAATGTGTGAAGAAAGAGATTAAGAAGGAAATTAATAAATTTCTTGAAACAAATGAAGACAGAAACACAATATACCAAAACCTGTAGGATACAGCCAAGGCTGTATTAAGAGGAAATTGTATAGCAATAAACACCTACATAAAATAAATAGAAAGATTTCAAAAAACAACCTAATGATGCACCTAAAGGAACTAGAAAAGCAAGAACAAACAAAACTCAAGGTAAGTAAAAAAGAAAACAAACAAAAAAACCCAATAATAATCAGAGCAGAAATAAATGAAATTAAGAACAAAAATACAACACAAAATATCAATTAAACAAAAAGATTGGTTTTTGAAAAGAAAAAATTGACAAACCATTAGGTAGACTAACCAAGAAAAGAGAGAAAAGACTCAAATAAATAAAATCAGAAATGCAAAAGAATACATTACCACTGATACCACTGAAATACAAAAGATCATTAGAGACTATTATGAACAATTATATACCAGCAAATTTGAACAACTAGAGAAAATGGAAAAATATTTGGACACATATGACCTACTAAGATTGACTCAAGAAGAAACAGAAAAACTGAACAGACCAATAACAAATAATAAGATTGAATAATGAGATGAATCGGTAATAAAACATCTCCCAACAAAAAAACACCCAGAACCAGATAGGTTTACTACCGAATTCTACCATAATAAAACATCTCCCAACAAAAAAACACCCAGAACCAGATAGGTTTACTACCGAATTCTACCAAAATGTTAAAGAACTAATACCAATGTTTTTTCCTACTATTTCAAATAATTGAAGTGGACAGAATTCTTCTAAACTCATTGTAAGAGTCCAACATTACCCTGATACCAAAACCACACAAGGACACAACAAAAAAAGAAAACTATAGACCAATATCCCTAATGAATGGAGCTGCAAAAATCCTCAATAAAATACTAGCAAACCAAATCCAGCAGCACATCAAAACGTTTATAGATCATGATCCAGTGGGATTTATGCCAGGGATGCAAAAATGGTTCACCATATGCAAATCAAAAAATGCGATATATCACAAGAGAATAAAACAAACAAACAAAAAATGATCGCCTTGATAGACACATAAAAAGCATCTGATAAAACTAAATATCCCTTTATGACAGAAACAATCAACAAATTATGGGAAGTATCTCAATGCAATAAATGCAATATATGACAAATCCACAGCTAACATCATAGTGAATGGAGAAAAGCTGAACCTTTTTTCCTAAGCAATGGAACAAGACAAGGATGCCCACTCTCACCACTCTTATTTAACATAGTACCAGAAGTACTAGGCAGAACAACCAGGCAAGAAAAAGAAATAAAGGACATCCAAATTGGAAAGGAGGAAGTCAAATTGTCCCTGTTTGCAGATGACATGATTTTATATAGAGAGAAACCTAAAGACTCTACTAAAAAGACACTTAGACCTGATAAACAAACTCAATAAAGTTTCAGGATACAAAATCAACATACAAAAATCAGTAGGATCCTATACATCAACAATGAGCTAGCAAAAAAAGAAATCAAGAAAGCAATCCCATTTACAATAGAGACAAAAAGAAATCCTAGAAATAAATGTAATGAAGGAGGGAAAAGATCTCTACAAGGAAAATTGTAAAACGCTGATTAAAGAAATTAAAGAAGGGCCGAGCCCGTGGCGCACTCAGGAGAGTGCGGCGCTGGGAGCGTGGTGGCACTCCCGCTGCAGGTTCGGATAGTATATGGGGATGACCGGTGCGCTCACAGCACGATGTGGCCGGTCTCAAAAAGGACAAAAAAAAAAAAAAAAAAAGAAATTAAAGAAGACACAAATGATGAAAAGACAATCCATGTTCGTGGATCAGAAGAATCAATATGGTTAAAATGACCATACTACCCAAAGCGATCTATGGATATAATGCAGTCGCCATCAAACTAACAATGACATTCTTCATGGAAAAAGAAAAAATAATCCTAAAAATTACATGGAACCACAAAAGACCCTGAATAGTCAAAGTAATCTTGAGCAAAAACAGCAAAGTGGGAAGCATCACATTGACTGACTTCAAAGTATACTACAAAGCAATAGTAACCAAAACAGCATGGTACTGGCACAAAAACAGACACATAGACCAATGGAACAGAATAGAGAATCCAGAAATAAATCCATGTACCTGCAGCCAACTGATTTTTAACAAAGGCACCAAGAACATGCATTGGGGAAAGGACAGTTTCTTCAATAAATGGTACTGGGAAAACTGGAAATCTATATGCAGAAGAATGAAGCTAGACCCCCACCTATCACCATTTTAAAAAATCAACTCAAAATGGAGTAAAGACTGAAATATGAGACCTGAATCTGTGAAACTACCAGAAGAAAACACAGGGGAAATGCTTTAGGACATTGGACTGTGCAAAGGTTTTATGAATGAGACCTCAAAAGCACAGGCAAAAAAAAAAAGCAAAAACAAATATATGGGATTATATCAAACC